CTTTATTGTAATAAGATAAATAAATTAATTGGATATACTCTTTAATCTGTTAATCCCATTTGCAAAAGCATATTTTTTATTGTAAAAAAAATGCTCTCCATAAAGGGATCTCGAACCATAGACCTCCCGATTCGTAACCAGGTGCACTAGCCAGACGCCAGAAACATCTGTTTGTTTTACTTTTTTCGGAAGTTGTATTTCTAGAATTTCATCGTTTATGCAACTGCTTACTATTATCGTTTCGCTTACTTTACATATAAGCAGAATAATATGAAGATGCACTCCAGTTAAGAACTTTCGCGCCACCCTTCTCCACGTGGACGAACAAAAGAGAATAAAATAAACTTTGGGCAACCTAGAAAAGTTAAAAGAGAGGAACCTTGACAGGTTATTGACTCAGCCACGATGCTCGTTTAATACTAAATTAAATTTATTATAGATATTTATCTATGATATTTCAAAATTTCGTTTTGAACTGTTCTCGGTCGTTTCATTTATAAACAAATTTCGCAATTCATTTTTTAATGTTCATTTTCGGCATGATAAGAGGTAAAGAGTGAAACCAATATTTCTATGTATTTTTTTTAACTTTGAAATTTATTTGAATATACACATTTGTTTGCGCATTACGTCCATACAAATGTTTAGGGTTCGGTTGGACGGAAGACCTTGCTGTTCCGCCTGTTTGTCAAGAACGGTTTGTGAGGGGCGGCAACTTTTTCCCCACCACCGAGCAATCCATTCATTTTCGCTGACTGCAATATCGGCTGGAACGATGATCATGACCCGCGCGGCTACGCGAAATCTGTAACATCGACAGAGGCGATAATCACGAAATGCTGCCCCGCCTGTTTGTCAAGAACGGTTTGTGAGGGGCGGCAACTTTTTCCCCACCACCTAGCAGTCCATTCATTTTCGCTGACTGCAATATCGGCTGGAACGATGATCATCATGACCCGCGCGGCTACGCGAAATCTGTAACATCGACAGAGGCGATGATCACGAAATCCTACTCTCGGACACGCCGCTACGATTTAGCGCCATGCTTTTGGTGACGCCTAAAACCGGAGCGTTGTGCATCTCCCCACTCATCTCTGTTCATACTCATCTCTGCTAACACAGACAGAATGTGAAATTTTGCGTCGTTTTGAGGTTATACACATGCATTATTATTTAGTTTAATATCTCTCACAATGAATGAACAGTGGCAAAAGATAAGTGACGTTTATGGTCCTACATTAGTAAGGTTTGTAATCATAAAAAATTATAAGATTATTATAAATTGGAGGAAAATAAGTCGATGAGAATTTTATACAGTTTTATAGTTACATAGTTTCACAAATGTATTGAATCTTAATGTACAATTTAATTCTATATAGCTTTTGCAAACATTGGAATATTACACCTATTCAGACAAAAAACGGAGCATTTTATATAAATGATGAAGAGATTTTGCAGAAATACAAAAAGATATTATTAGGAAGTATGCACTCCCGTGAAATTATCAAGGAGGATGAAGAAGTAAACAAAGACATAAATGATGTACACTATGGAACCAATTCTATTGACTTTATAGGTAGCCAGATGATTATAGATTTATGGATATTTAAATTTAACAAATATTATTACCATGTTATATAAACTTCTTCTTTTTCAAACTTTCAGAAGGTTTTGATCATTTTATTAATTGTACTAAAGATAAAATAGTTGGATCATTAAAATCAAGTGATACACAAATGTCTGTAGGATCTATTGATGGATCATTGCAAGCAACTGAAATGCGAATGACTTTAGGGTCTATTGATAATATACTACAGAGAATCAATATTTCTATTGATCATTATGTGTCGAAGACACAAAAGGAACCAAAATTTCCAAAAACTCATATCTTGGAAGCATCAATAAATGGAAAGGAAATATTTCAATATATTATGGATTTTTGTATTGATGTATATGTTGATGGTTATGAAAACTGTATTCCTTTAGTAGTTCCCATATTGGAATGTTTTCAAAAACATCATAAAAGATTTAACTATTATAGTCTTCTCAAGAATATAATTCAGATTAAAAAAAACGATGCTAAGAAAAAAGAAATTTCTGTGCCGATTCAGCAAATAAAAAGATATTTCCAGCTTATTTTTCATAAGGTTGTTCCATTAAGATTGTTTGGCAATAATAGAAATAAAAAGAAAATGCTGAAAGTTATTAACCAATTGATGGACAGTGGACGATATGAATGTATCACTTTAAAATCAATCATAAATAAGCTGAAGGTAGGTAAAATATAAGATATTTTAAGAACTGGGCACTATTGAATCTGCATGCTGTTCGTGTTTTCCAGATTGCTGATGTTGATTGGTTGAAACCTATTAATAACAGCATAATAAAACAATCAGTTTTTGCAAAAGTGGTATACTGGTTTCTTACTGAATTTATTAAAGAAATATTATATACTCAATTTTACATAACAAATATTACTTCTACTGGTAGTAAAAAGATTTATATACCACATGGCATATGGAAAACTGAGAAAGCTAAATTTATCCGAAAACTGAAACGAAAGTTGACTATTATGCTTGACGATTCAAAAGATTTCGATGACCTTCCAATTGCCAAATTGGTATTACTACCAAAATTAACAGGCGTTAGGCCTATATTACAAATAAAGTGAGTCAAAATATTACAATGCACTTGAAAAGTCTATATATATATATATATATATATATATATATATATATATATTTGGCATTGGGTTATTATATTCATGTTAAAAGGCAGTTTCCAGGAAATTTGTTGTGTTCCAGGACGGTCTTGGAACATTTTTATATCTATTGTATGCTTCCAGGACCGTCTGACGGCACTCACACTGAATTTTTCAAAAAATTTTGGATGCTGGATACTTTGAGTTGTGATGGGCTAAAAAATAGTTCGTTAGATTACATTAGGATACAATTTCAATGCCACATGTCCCAGGGTTACTTTCTTTAAAAAATATATATATATATATATCGGCTTGCCGTTGTGAGCGTCGCATGTCCTCGAAACTGCCCGTTGACGTGTGCGTGTGCGTGTGTGCGTGCGTGTCTGTGTGTATGAATCAATGTACATTATTTGTAAATACATACATATAGGTTGGGGCGACAATCGTGGTATAACTAAAACGTAGAAGATTCCTTATGGAAAAGGAAATCGAAATTGCAGTACAAATTTATTTCCTCTATGAGGCTTCATTTTTGAGAAAATAGACTTTAAATATTAGTAAGGCAAAATCATGCAAGTACACGTTCACTTGACTAAGGATTGACTTACGAAGCTCGCTACAGACCACTAATTCCTTCTGTATCTGTATACAATAATATCATGATATAAGATGATATGAAATAATTAAACCAATATTCTAATCTCGAAAACAATTTATTTTGTTAATTTACGAATTGTTGAAAGTCTCGACACCATTTTTGTATACAAAGTTGTGTTGGTTGAATCAGAAAGTCATTAACTGTGTTTAGCGTGGCCTGAACCTTCAATTTTTTAAACGTCTAGATAACGCGACATTGGATATAAATACAAACAAACAATTAGTCTCTTAAGCGATTTTGTTTAAGTCGATTATTAGTCGTGTGCACGCGTACCCGATTGATTTTTAAAGTTGATTTTTTTTTAAATGAAGCCTCGTAGAGAGAAAATTTATTGTAACCCTTTCGATTTATTTTTCCATTAGAAATCAGCTCCTTCGCGGTTGTAGTGTGTACTTCGCTCCACTCAGTATATGAGCGGGATGAGCAGTGTCCATTATGCTTAATACATATGCTGTGTTTCCTTACTTTTTTCCGTAGATATAGTCAGGCAGAAAAAAAAAACCTACGCAAAGTTTCAAGATTCTTAGAACAATTGTATATTACCCATTACAATCAGATGACACTACCACGATTTCATAAACAGTGGAAAACGACTGTTCAGTGTTTACGAAATTCAACACAAAAACATTTACATAATTTCGTATCTTGTGATGTAAAAGATGCGTACGGTTCTATAAATTGCGGTAAGTTGTATACATTTCGAGTTATAGAACTGCAAAGAAAGTTAACTTTCAAGCTATTTTTTAACAATCATAATGCTGTTAGTCTAACAGAAACTTTTAGGAACTTAGATGATATTAGGATTTAAAACCTTCTCTCAAGGTACTTTTCTATATTTCTAGTTACCTTTATCTTCCCACCATACTCCACTTTCTTTTTTGGAACACGTACATAGGTTTGTTTTCTATTTCACGAAATTGGACTTAATTTATTGCATGAATGTTTTCTACATAATTTATAAAAAACGTAATAAATTGCTAATTGGTCAGTCACTTCTTATTACAAAATAGAAGTATTATGAGTTTCAAACTTTTGACATATACAGGTGACCAATAATTTTGTCCACCTGGAATACTTCTGTTATTTGTAATAATTTTAAAAAAAGTGTGTGTGCTTAGACCACACGGCTCAAGTGAAACTTCTCTCGGATATTTTGATGAAATTCATAAGAGAATAAGCTCCCCTGTCAGATCGAGAAGGAGAGTAAAAGAAAGTAGAGGCTGATGCGAATTAGTATAATGGCAATATTGTTACGTCCTATGTGTGAGCGACTGTTTGCGGGAGCATCAGGGAGCTAGCATAGGTGTTGTAATCAAGTATCACGTAAAGGTATTGGGTCCTTGCCACTTTAAGATGCTAAAGCACGCCTATTTGCTTTTATGTTCCTTGGTTAATAACTAAGGCGAGGATCACAACCAAACGATAGATATAACTGAATTGACAGACTCGTTTCTTTTACATGAAATGTGTTTGCTACTGATAGATAAAGAGATTATTTGGATTTAGGATCTGTTAGGTTTAGGTTTTGAAATTATGAGAAGAAAATATCGTTTAACTCAGTATAATGAAATAATAGGTTTGGAATACGAATGAATGGTATTTAGAGAATATATCTCGCGCGAGAAAATAGCCGGAGCGGGAGTGGTTCGGATACACGGATGCCTCAGGTGGCTGCCGACGTCAGAGGGCACACTCCCGAGGAAGAAAAACCTCGCCTCTAACGAGACTTGCTAGGATCACGATCGCGCCGCGAGGGGATTCCGGATTCGATAGGCACACCGAGGTAGGGACAGGTTTTGGGCAGGCTAGCTACCACGACTCGGACTAGTCGTTAACCGCCGTTTGAGAACACACTGTACGCGACGGGATTTATATTGTAAAATCACCGTTTATTTAATGGTAATAAGCCAACCGGTGTTCTACTCGCCGCATAGTCGGCTGATCCCGAAATTCTCTCTTGTCGACCCCACGTTCGGCTCTATCATTTCCAGTGTGCTGAGGCTGAGCCGCCGGGAAATGTGAAAAACGGCCGTGTAAGGGATGGTGGTACGGGGAAGCCGCACCTGGTGCCCAACAACTAGATTTTCGGATCTTTTCTTCGATTTCAGATTCGATTCAGTTCGATTCACTTCGATTTTCCTCTCTATTTCTTGTATTTCGCACTGGTCCATGATAACCATAATCATAATCAATGTCATACACAATAAAAGGTTGACCAATGTTTGAATGAGAAAGAATGAAAGAAATGTTTCAGAATAATAAATTTGTTATTCTGAAACGATCGAGTTGAGCACCAGTGGCGCGCGGGACGAGGCCACGCTGTGATCGATCAACTACAAACGTTAATAACTTCTTAATAAGTGGTAAAATCATAATGTTGAAAAGGAACTTTCGGTTCCAAATTCTATTCCTTCTTCACTCCCGAGAGGAAATTCATCAGTCTGGGACACCCTGTATATCCATGATACCGTAGACCAATAATGAATGAATGATATTTCTATAGGATGTCATGATATATCCACAACAAATAATAGATTATTATAAACTAATATAGATAAATTTGAGTATACTGGTTGGTAAAATTTTTAAGACCTGGAAAACATGGTAGAAATGTAATTTATAATCAGTTAAGTTTGGAAAAAGTTCTAACCTATCACTATAATATGTATGGCCAATAGCAATGATATTGAACAATATTTTATGTTCATGATACACAGAAACAGAGAAATTGCTAGATTCTATATAAATTTTAACTACCCATGGTGATAAAATATCGGTCACCTTCGGAAAATTGAGGTTTATAGAGGCGTGCGCGAGTCATTAAGGCCTGAAGTGTTGGTATATCAGAAATTATTACGTCTAGTGATCTTTACGCCGCATTGTCTTATCCGCTTCGTGCTGTTAAAGCAGTTTTCATTTTTCCCTACGATAACAGGAATTTTTATCCTGAAGCAGGCACGGTTTATCAACAAATCGTTGTAAAATTCACGTGATGATTTCTACTATATTGTGTAGGTCAAAATTACTACGCTGTCGATTAAAACTAGCTACCTTACAGTAACGTCTCAGTATAGTAGGTTAATTTTAAGCGGATTTAGAAATTATTCGATGTTTTTACAGCGTAAACTCTAATAAGTGCCAAAATGATGCAACAAAGATGTAAACCACAATTGATATTTAAAAAAAATGTAGGGTCCAAAGACGGTTTACTAGGACTAATTGTATGCATCTTGATAATAAAACACTAATCTGACATACTATAACCTGAAATTCTTACAAGGAAACCCCCCCAACCCGACCCCACCGATTTCAATAATTTTTTGATATGTTGTAGAACTCGACAAAATAAGAGACATGTATATTTTTTTTGTGCTGACATCCACTTTAAAGGGGTGAAAACGACCCCTGAAATTCACCCCCGAAAATCGTTTTTTCATCATATCTTGACTTCTAATTAATATTTTTTAATAAAACCAAGTGGAAAATATTTGTCATAATTTTCGGGGGTGAATTTCAGGGGTCGTTTTCACCCCTTTAAAGTGGATGTCAGCACAAAAAAAATATACATGTCTCTTATTTTGTCGAGTTCTACAACATATCAAAAAATTATTGAAATCGGTGGGGTCGGGTTGGGGGGGTTTCCTTGTAAGAATTTCAGGTTATAGTATGTCAGATTAGTGTTTTATTATCAAGATGCATACAATTAGTCCTAGTAAACCGTCTTTGGACCCTACATTTTTTTTAAATATCAATTGTGGTTTACATCTTTGTTGCATCATTTTGGCACTTATTAGAGTTTTTTAGTTTTAAAGTGATCTCATTTTACTATTTTTTTTTGCTTTAGACAAATTATTTGAAATTGTAACGTCCCTTTGCGATTCAATACCCGACAAAATAAGAATGGAGTCACTTACTATTATGAAGCGGCGTGATTTAAAAAGTTCACGAAAATTGACGACTAGGCAATATTTCGTCAACCGAAACTTACAGTTGTCTATATCGGCGAATACATTATTCTCTCCAACGAAAGATTCTCACAGTGAAACGATCAGAAAGGATTGGCTAATGACTAAAATAAAAAATCATATTTTTCATCAAAAGGTAAATAATAAAATATATATAGTATTGGATTTTCTTCACAAGACTAAAAATAAACCATAAACATAAGCATCATTATTATCATTACTATTAAGGGGTTACTGGGGTTTAGAGAGTCAAAAACAAGGGGGTTTTTTTTTTAACGCGGGTTTGAATGTTTTTAGATAATTACATTTTTTATTTAAAAGATACATATTTCAAGATATTATGGCATTTTTTACATTAAAAAAATAGTCATAAATAACGGAGTTATGAATGATATCGTGAAGCTCCAAAAAAAGGGCGCCAATCGCCAGTTTGGACTGGATCATCTGAAAGCAAAAAAAAATCAACGTCGATCTTTATTGAATGGTGTCAGGTAGGGATGGATCGTAGCTTTTTGAACAATTTTAATTTTTTACAAAATGGCGTCATTTTTGGTAAAAAAAAGTGTTTTTTTCCCCCCAATAAAAGACCATCGATAAATAGAAAAAGTGAACGATCCATATCTATCTGACATCATTCACTAAAGATCGACGGTGATTTTTTTTGCTTTCAGATGACCCAGTCCAAAATGGCGTTTGGCACCCTTTTTTTGGAGCTTCACGGGATCATTCAAATACAACGTATTGTAACGTATTTTCTTAACTCGACGCCGATAACGAAAAAATCCGAGAACTAACCTATATTACTTTCGGGCGTCCACCCTTCGCTCATGCATCCGCAAACTAGGCGGGCGCCAGCTAATTCTTTTTTCAGCGAGAACTGACAAGCCGATAGGATGTGGGAGTAGGGGTGGAACAGGCCCAACTCCGCCAAAACAAGAGCTCTGATGGAAACTATCAGAAGATGCGATAACTTAACGCATCCTGCCGATTTTTGGGGACGCGTAAAATCGCGAAACGCAAACGTAGGTGCTGATCTTTGGGGTCACGTAAAATTAACCAAATTCGAAAACTAATCATTTTGATTGGTCGATAGCCGATAACTCTTATTCTTTTCCTCGAGTCGTCCCTTTAAATCAAATCGAGAGCGTTCCTTAGTGAATCGGTACGTAACAACTGGAGATCCTCAACTACTGCTTCCCCAGAACATTGGGCGACAGCTGGGCACCACATCCTTAATTCGGATCAGGGGGTTCCCTCCGCTGCACTTAACCGCATCAAAACTATATCTCTGCCCGCTCTACAGCCCTTTGCCTCTCTCCATCGGGGCGCCGATATTTTATCCAGGCTTCTGCCAGTCCGTGGAAATGTCTCCGTCGGGTCTTTCCTTTCCTCCTCACGGCAGATTCGAGTACCTCGACCTCAACTAAACAATATTAAATCTTTCGAGAGAATTGACGTAACCATACGAATCAACCCCAAAGCGTAGCTTCTGAGCAGGGTGGTGACTCGAAGGGAACCAGAAACTAAGAACATTATCTGAATCGGTAGCTGGAGTCACCTTGTGACTGTGAATCGAAAAATTATATCACAGTACCTTTTGAATAAAAGAGTAATTATCTAAAAATATTCAAACCCGCATTAAAAAAAAAATCACAAAATTGATCTTGTTTTAGACTCTCTGAACGCGAGTGACACCTTTAATATGGATAATTTGTCGTTATACTGTTAATGTTTATCAGTCATATTATTCATTTGTAGGTTTGGATTAATAATAAGAAATACTTATTGATAAAAGGCGTAGCCCAAGGAGCTTTGCTTTCTGCAGTTTTATGTGACATTTATTATAGTCATATGGTACAACATGAGTTATCAAAGTTTCTAAAAACTGGTACTTTGTACCGATACGTTGATGACTTTTTGTATGTAACAGATAACGAAGATTCTGCAAAAAGGTACTATCGTCACTTCATCCTAAGTATAGTTTTATTTATATAGAATATTAATATGTAATGTAGATTTTAAAAAAATTAGTAATAAATTTACAGCTAAATATTAATTTGTAGACGCCCTCCTTTTAGTAATAATAATTCAATTTCAATTGGTGACAAGTTTTAAATTGACAATAAATTACCCTTTATGCAACATTATCTATAGAACTACAATATATTACACTTTTTTAAGACCTTGTGGTAAGATAACTTTCAACAATAAAAAATAAGCATAAAGAGTGGTTCTGTGCAGAAAAACCTCATTTTTCTCGTATCTTTCCTAAGGTTTTCAGCTACAAAAGTACAATGTGACCAAAATAATTGTCGCTATAGAAACGAAAGTTAAACTACAATGGTCCTGCTTCAATATGTTTTGTATGTTATTTATGTGTTGCAACATTTTTTTTTCATTTTTATATTCGTGGTAGGCCGATACAATATAGATACTAATATCGTTTCAGTAAATGCGATAATTATTCTCAATAATCTGTATTGTATATTATGTTAATAATTCGTGATGTATAACATTTATATTTTCAAGGGGCCTGTCTATCACCGGTGCCATGTTGATAAATAACACGATTAACAAATGGCGATTCACAGAAATTCTCGTTTTGATATTAATAGCTATCATGACAATATTAGTTTACAAAATAGCAGACTGTTCTGTACAACATTATCATATTGCCGAACGATACTATATAATTGTCCCTCTCTCGTTTATTGGTAATCTCTCGACTATTGATAATCAACATATCAAAAAATAACTTTTTGATAGTTCATCCGTGAGATAAGGTATCACTATTCAATGTCACGGATGAGCTATTTTCATGTATCTTTTAGTTTATACTTTGTCGGTTCGATAGCGTTACAGTCAAAAGCCTCGATGATAGCATCAGTCCTCATATGTACAGTTAAAGAATATCTGTGACAAGAGTATGAGATATTCCCGGTATCTGGAAAATGTACAGGGTAACAAATGGAAGGTGTGAAAACTAAATGATTATTATTTTTGAACAGGTACAGGAATAAAAATAAACGAAATGATGGTTAAATAGTAGAAACTTTGAGGTTTTATTGAGGAACACAATTGCATAATTTTAAGAGTTTTATATATTTTAGAAACGAACATCTTAAAAATACCAAAAATTCGTAACGGGCACAACACTTAATGGTATAAGTTTTCGACGTGTGCACCATCTAAATTGGCACAGTAATCAAGCCTTTTTTTTAACAATAAAATACATGCTGTCACAGTATCAGAAATATCGTGAACCGCTTTCTGAATAGCCGCTTTGAATTGCTCTGGGTCTTTGGGTTGATCGGCGTTACCATTAAGTGTTTTGCTCCTTTTGATTTTTCAGCATCTTTAAGATGTTTGTTTCTAAAATACATAAAACTTTTAAAATAATATAATTTTGTTCCTTAATAAAACCTCAAAGTTTCTACTATTTCACCACCATTTCGTTTTTTTGATTCCTATATTTTTCAAAAAAACCAATTAGTTTTCACGCTTTCCTATTCGTTACCCTGTAGTAATGTAAATTGATCAAATCTACTACCCGCTACTATTTTTCTCACTTCACCAACTTATCGGTCAAATTACATTATCTCGTGCCCACATTCCAAATATATAATCGCTGCACCTTCCATACAGTGTTACGTCTCGACATCGGGTAGTAACGGAAAGTCGTATCGACGTGGGACCTGCTGGCGCACGCTCCCGTCCCCGCCCCGTTACGGGCTCCGTTGCTGGGTTTGGGGTTTCGTCGAGTAATGCAAACATCAGATAGTGGAACTAATATATAAACAATATATTGTACTACAATTCCCTCTCCCTCTATCTCTCTATCTCTCTGTCTCCCTGTATCTTTGTCTCTCTATCTCTTTATCTCTATCTCTCTATCGTACTCCACTCGTGAGGGACCTACCAGGGGCGTAGCCGCCTCGCGTATTTAACCGTGGGTTGTGGTATGGTGTTTCCGAACTCACTGACTATTATGCGTAACTGATAACTGCCTATACTGCGCACCTCTCGACAGAGTCCTAACGTCATCCGTTAGGCTACGAATTGAGACTGCTCGCGGCCCTCGCAGCGGCCGGGCAGCAGGTTCCCTTGCTAGCCCCATGTGAGCGCTGCGAGGGGGGTTTCAAGGTGCTGATTTGACAGTCTCGCGAAACGTCTCACGGCCGAAGTCCACAACGCGGCTGGATGTCGGATATTCCCGCGCATGACGGAATTCGTCCACTAAGACCGCCGCTGATAGGTCCTCGAAATAGTGAAGAAAGGGGAGAGGTGGCAGAAACCACGTGAGATGCCCCGGATACGAGAAACCGAGATACTCGAACCCTGCAACCGGGACGTAACATAGTTAATATCGGTTAAAAGTTCTTATTTGAACCCTTTACGCGACAAGCAAAACTGAGAGTTAGAATTTCAAAAAGGCACGGCTAAAAAAGTTGGAATGATGGAGTTTGAGGATGTAGATTACCAATTTGATAATTAAAAAACGAAAATCAAAATAGCGGGCTATAACGTCCGACAATTGGATCTTAAATACTTCCCATGATTGTTTAAATATAATAGTTTTTACTTGGAGGTTTTTTCGTTTCTAATTTCGTTTCTGCTTTATGTTTGAAAAAACATAAGGAAACTTTAAAATAATACTTTGTGATACGAGTGCAAAATAGCGGCCTTTCGGTGAAGGTTGTGAAGTTGGCAGTACGAACTGGAAGCGAGTATCACAGCCGCACGAGCCGAACGCGAGTGTTGCCTCTGGTACGAATTGAAGGCGAGTGCTACCAACTTCACACACTTCGTCGGGTGTCCTCTTTTTTGTTCGCGTGTCACATAATATTTTTTGTAACATGTGCACAAAAACTTCCCCTTTTCATGTTTGTAGTGTGGCGGAAAATATACTAACGTGTTAAAAGAATGTGTATAATAACCAGTTTGATTTACGCATGTGCACTATTTTTTTCTCATGCCTCACTAAAAAGAGCCAGTGTCGCCACACTTATCAAGCACGAAAAGGAGGACTTTTTGTGCATGCAATTACATGAAATATGGTATAAAATGAAAAATGAAGTGTGAAATCTTATCATGTAGCCTCCTCGTGGCACATTTCAAAGTCGTGAAAAAGTAACCAACTGGTGTCAGAGATCACTCATAAAAAAATTCAAATAAAACGCCGTTGGAATGACATTTGCTTTTATCATTATCATTATCATTCTTATCATATTACTTATTATTCTAAACACAATTTCTCACACTACCATATGGCGGACCCATCATATTGGGTCAAGTAAGCGTTCCTAGCCATATTTCGGATTTGCCGTATAAAGGGTTAATATGTTACCATTTGGGAAAAGTAGGCTGTACAAAATATCCGCAAGAACCGTGTGAATTGGTTAATGCCTTTGAAGCACGATGTACCAGCACAGGAGATACACTTCTTTGAATTCAGAAAAAAGCATTTACTACAATTCGATATATTTAAAACTTCATGTTTAGATGTATTTTAAATTCATGAATTCGAATCCAATATAGAAATTTCGAAATTCAAAATGGCCCAAAATTCCCCGAGTACCAAATTTTAAGTGCATTGTATGTAAGAGAAAAATGTATGTTTCAAAGGATTACAAAATGCCGTCGGTGACAGTCAGGTCACTTAACATTGCCATGATATAGTAGGTTATGTTATCTATAAATTAATAATAATGCAATTGTTTTAGGTTTTTAGACGTCGTTGAGAAGGGCATTAGTGGGTACAACTGCCAATTTAAACCTTCGAAAACGCAAACAAGTTTACAACCCCGTTCTGATGGTGCAGAAACTTTAATATATTTAGGATACAATCTAAATATGAAAACTTTAGAGGCAACGCCAAAATATCTAGACGTGAATGCACGATATACAACAACACTAAGTTACTCTAGCCATAAAACACCAACGGCGTAAATATTTATTAGTGATTGTTTTTCTGTTTTTATCTAAATGATATGTAATCTCTAGTTTCTGTCATTGTTTTTCTCTGTCCACAGAATCCTTCAGCGTCGGTTAAACAATATAGCGTCTCTTAAGCTAACCAATATTGTCTTGGATGATGAAATTAATTCTATGACTACAATACTTGAGACCCTGAGACGTGCTAGCTTATTACAAGCTTCTCGATGCCTTGCGCTTATTTTAAGAATATTTGACGACACACCCAAGAGTGCTCAGGATATCTTTAAAGCGATTAAATTTTCTAACAATAAAATTGTAAGAACCGTTGGACATATGTACATGACAGGTACATATACTATTATATTTTACTATATACATTGTAACGTAATTTTTAACTCGACATTGATAACGAAAAATGCGAGAACTATCTTTGAGAATCAATCTACGTTACCTTCGGCTATGCACCCTTAGCTCATACATCCGCAAGCAATGCGGGGGCCAGCCAATTCTTTTATCACCGGGAACTGATCAGCCGGTGTGACCTTGGAGTTGGGGTCGAACAGGCCCAACTCCGCCAAAACGAGAGCTCCGACGGAACCTATCAGAAGATACGTGAAATCGAGAAATCCAAGCGTAGGTGCTGATTTTGGGGGTTACGTAGATCAGCAAACGCAACTGGATGTACGAACGGGAGCGGACGATTACGAAAATGCATGCCCACTCAGGTTGCACGGTTAAGGTAGAGAGGGTCTGAGAAAGCATTAGGCAAATAGCGCGAGATACAGAGAGCAACGGATCGAGAACGTAAAAGAACGAATCGGACGTATTAAATCGAAATCCCTTCACCAATTAATACATTGGGTGTCCTCACTGGAGTTGGTGCAGCTAATCCAGGTGGGTCGATAACTGTATCCAGAAGACACTTAGGCGGGTACTGCATTAGGGCACAGCACTACACCTCCGGAACACACACAGAAAATCCATAGAATTCCCTGGAAATGGCGAGACAGGCTACCCAGGCGAAAACCTCCTATACCGTATCGGAAACACAGAAAAACTATCAATAGATAAAAAGTTACAAGACAGACTAATTTGACAGTAGTCTAATTCGAGAACTAATCATTTTGATTGCTTGAGATCTGTATAGCCGATAGATAACTCTTATTCTTTTCTTCAAGTCGTCCCTTGAAATCAAATTGAGAGCATTCCTTAGCGAATCGGTAAGTAACAACTTTTGGAGATCCTCCACAGCCGCTTCCCCCCTTAACTCGGATCAGGGGGTTGCTTCCCTGCCCTTAACTGTAGCAAAACTATACCTCCACCTGCTCTACAGCCCTTTGCCTCTGTTCAGTAGGGCGCCGGTATTTCACCCGGGCTTTTGCCGGTGCATGGAGACGTCTCCATCGGGCACTCTCCTCTGCCGGGCAACTCGGTACGTCGAGACTATCTCCCCACCGCAGATTCGAGCACCTCGACTTCAATTCAACAATATCAAATCTTCCGAGAGCATTGACGTTACTATACGAATCAACCATAGAGCGTAGCTTCTGAGCAGGGTGGCGACTCCAAGGGAACCAGAAAGCAAGAATTTTATCTGAATCGGTAGCCGGAGTCGCCTTGTGATCGCTAGTCGAAAAAGCACGTCATAACACATACATACTACACTACATACTGTAACGTATTTATGTAAGTACGTTCACAAAAACGACCCTGAATGGTCCTCACAAATTTTCCGATGACGAAAGTAGTTTCTCTCTCTTCTATCACCAACACGAACTAACGGGTTGGGCGCCAAGTATCCCTCGCGGATGTACCGCGAGTGTAACGCACTCTCTTTATCACTAATTAAATTACCCAATTTGGTAAGAGCCGGTTTACAATAAAACTAAACACCAATATACCGGAATCGAGCACCGCGCCAACAACCTAAGACGGGTCTCCCATTCACAAAGTTTTCGCTAATAATCTAACGTATGCGGGGCCTACGCCAACAGTCCTAAAACCTACCATTCGCACACGAAGTTCATCAAAGTTTTGCTATGGGATGCACCAAGGGACAACGGCCGATCCGTAAGATGTTCACTAATGCGGAGGATGACAGAGTGTTGCTAAAGAATACAAATGGCCTACAAGGTGACTAACTAGTTGAAAGCGCCGTGGCGTTCAGACGGGAACGGAGGAGGTTAAGCATAAGTTAGGAAAAGAGATTACGTAAGTTTAACGCACCGGAGCTATATTTTATAACAAGCGGCGAAAGCCCTTAGAAGAAAAATAGAAAAAGAAATTCATACGAGCCAAAGCATGAGGCAAGACAAGATCAGATATGAGCGGTGCGAGATAGGCCAAACCAAATTAACAAAAAGCTTACGACAAATTAACAAAGCAAAAAAGAAAGAAGTCTATAAACAATATAAATGCGGAAAGAAAAGCGCACATAAAAATAGGCAAGCAATAGAATAAATATCAATCGGAGAAGCATAAATAAGTTAATCAGATAATTAATTGATCTATAGAAATGCGAAATGATGACTCTATACAATCTAATACGCTAAATATACTGATTCTAATGATTGAAAGGTTCGGTGTGCAAAATAATACGCTCGAATGAGTTTACTGAATTATTGAAGAATTGTATAGGATTTTTATTTTAACTAACACGGTAGAAACACTAAGGACACTAAAGGACACTAACAATGTGGAGCGAATCCACTCAGAATTAATCGGACATATAATATCGATAAAGATTAATACTCATGGTTTCCGGATGGAAGCCGCGTCTGTGTTCAGCTTCGTGCCGACGTTTCGCAAACGTTTGACTCTGCATCTTCAGGGCTAGGAGGCTCCGATACTGAAGCTCCTTGTTGTCAGGAAGTCTTAATATACCAATGATTGCTCATGCGGATCAGTGCTTCAGCCAATCATAAGTTGTTTAGTTGATCAGCTGATCGATTAAAAAACCGGGAGGACAGTGTGCCAAATAGGGTTTACTTGACATCGTCGATCCCTATTTGGGTTATTTGGGTGTTTTAATATCTCTAGACCTTCGTGGTATTTTCGGGCGAGGTAACCTGTAGAATTAGCTAGAATTTGTGTCTTTTCATATTCCACTGAATGTCCAGTGTCCATCCAATGTTCTGCTAAGGCAGATTCAGAAAAATTACCGTATTTGGTACACCGTTGATGTTCTTTGACCGGTGTACTGATCTTCCTGCCGGTTTCACCTATGTATACTTTTCCACAGGAGCAAGAGATTTTCTATACTCCTGGGGCACTCAGTGGTGGTCTACGGTTTTTCGTACTGGGAATTATTTGTCCAACTTTCTTTGGGGTTATGTTTCCGTAGCACTTTGCTGATTCGGTCTGTTGTACCTTGGAGATACGGTAGAGCTACGATTTAGAGATGTTCCTGTCGCTCGGCTGGTACATTAGAAGATGGGGAGAGATTTATATTTCGTAGCTTACGTAATACATGGTTAATTTTTTGTAGCTCCTCTAGTTTTCGAAATATTTAGATGGCTTGCTTAAAATAAAACACCCTGTATGTGCTACAGATCAGATGTGTGGAGTATGTTTAACAATTATAATTTTTTTCAGATAAAGAAAAACGGATAAAAATTACTAAAGAACTTAAATACCTGTTATGGGATTCTTACAAGAAGGTATTCAACAAGAGACCGAATCTATATAAAACGTTCAATTGGCGTTTTACTCGTGAAATATCACACTTACTGCTTTAGTATGTATTTAAAGAATTTATTAACAAAATATTCTATGGTGCTTCGTTGTAAAGATATTAATAAAGTTTCTGTTTATACATAAAATTCGTCTATTTCGACCGGTTGACATTGAAATACTACAGGTTGCGACGATATATGATGTCGTCAGCGAAACTGAACTCTACACAATCGAAAATCGGGAGAGTAAGTGGTCTCAGCAAAATTGAAAATGTTGAACGCCAGGTACCACCAACGAGTACCACGAGCTCTCGGCTTGTTTTCGATACAGCGAAGGTCGTGAAAGAGAATTAATCCGGGGTAACCGATTGCCAGCGGACAATTAAACCTAAACTTGCCACCAGGCAAACTAAACCTAGGGGCCACACGGCCACCGCAACAGATAAGGACACCATGGCCAAGTAAGGGTATCGCAAAACGTAACGAAACTAAGGGCACCAAGGCCACGCAAATCAGATAGGGGCACCACGGCCAAGAAAAGAATTTAAAAAACGTAACTAAACCTAAAGGTTACCCGGAACTCGAAAGGCAGTATTAAATTAGACCGCCTTACGTTCCACGGTACGCCGCTTCAGAGGCTAGCTCGTCGGAAGCGTCGCGGCGTTTAAGAGGTACGAAAGGAGGAAAACCAGCCAAGGACTTATACGAAAGCGATAAGAAATACTGTAATAAAATAATCCAAATTGACGAGTTAACGCACCAGAGCTGTATTAGGCAGAAACGAAAATTTCAAACAATCAATACACTTAATAGCAAAGTTACACGAGCATTAGATCAAGCGGGAATAAGGTGCGAGCAAAAGCCAAACATAGTTAACGAAAGTCTTAAAATTAATTCATAATAATCGGTATCAAAAATCGGAAGCTACACAACGCAAAATAAATAAAAATCATAAAATATAGGGAACTATAGACGCATCCCACTTATTGGAAAATCCCCCAAAAAACACTTATGTGTAAAAAACTACGCCAAGTACAGGATTGCTGTGAATTCCTATGACAAAAAGTATTGATATCATATTATTGAGGCCAAGTACATAAGTCACTACATGTTTTCCTATTATATGATCTAGCACTGGCCCATCATTTTAATTATATTTTCAATATTTCCTATAACGTGCTCGCTACTCTTTTATGTTACTGCTGCTTCCCGTATTTAATTATGATTTAATAATTAATAAAACTTTAGCTGATTCCTTATCGAGTACTACTTGGCGGGTCCGTGCCAGGAATTCCAATATGTCCTCTGGCAGCGCTGCTGTACCATGCTCCCTTGGTAGATTTTACTTTCATGGCTTAGCAACTTCTACCAGATCCTTCTCTCAGTGCAGTTGTCCTTGGAATTCGGGAAACGTCAGACAAAATTCGTAGAGTATATAGCGAGGTGAAAAGAACGTTCTGTCGTGCTGCATAAGCGCTCTTGCCCGTTGTTGTTTCAGTCATTGGCACATGTTCTAGCACATTCATTTCGATAATTATGGAGATTAAGTGCATAAATACCTGCATAAATACCATAAATAGATTAAATGCATAGGTACCTTCTAACATTTATTATCACTGACAAGAAAAAAATAGTATGATTGCAAAAATGTCTTACAAAGTCAGAAAATCATTTTATAATATTGATTGTTTTATCTATCAATAACTTTGACAGTTAAGGTAAACTATAGAACTGCTAATCGTACTTTTCTTATCATTATTTTTATAAGTAATTTTCTTACCATAAACTGTTAATTAGATGAGGAACTATAACTCATCAAGTACAATATGAAAAAAATCTCTCTCGTTCGTTAATGTAAAGTATTGTTTGTCTCCGTTTGATGAAAAAAATTATCGAAAAAGATTTTCCCTTTCGAACTTAAATAATGAATCAATTTTTTTAAATCTCTGAGTTTCGCAGCATTTATGCCAACGCGTGGTGCAGATTCCGAATGCAGAATTTCATCAAACTCTAAAGATGATTCGATCAAAAAATTCGTAGGTTTTCCTTTGTAGTCAGTAAATACGTCAACGGTGGTGTTAGCGAAAAAGTTTATCCTCGCAACTTTACTGATTTGAAGCTGTTTTAGTATTTTTGCCCTCTTTTCCATCTTTTGTTCAAAATCTTTTACTTCGTACTCAGTTTCTTGAACAATTTCGAAAGGAGGGTTTCTGGAATTTTTTATTATTTCAATATATTCTTCAGGTTGTAACGTATATTATTTCCAACTGTCAAGGCTGGTGAAGTACCAGTTCCCTCGAATGAAGATTTTGGCCACTTAGCTCTTAGAGTGAACCAGGGTTCGGAACGGTAAAGGGATAGTTGTGTTACAGCAATAATAAAAAACGTTCTTTCGGGTAAACTTTTCCTCGTTTATTATAATTTGCGTCTCTATTCGGTATCATCTAGGAGGAGGAATGTCGGAGGAATTACTTGAGGCTGTGGAAGCGCCAACACATCCAGCTATGGATGATGCGTGATTTGAGACTGTGCCGGCCAACACTTCCGGCTACGGATAATGCGAGAGCGATCACTCTCTGCTAATTTGTCCAGGGTAGCTAAACGCTGCGCTACTGGACTAAGTTGCTGAAACGAAACTAGAACCACAGAGTTCTCAACGAACGGTGTGATCACAAAAAAATGGTTCTCTCTCGGATGAGAGAATCTGGATATTATATGCAGGATTCAAGATGCAGGATACAAAGTATATATCGATGGCGAAGACAAAAACTGCAAAATCGACGGATTAATTATGTACCCGGTCCTACGTTTTTTCATGCGAGTTGCCTTGGCTCGCTCGGATACCCCTTGTCTGGTTAGGGACTCTTGTCACAAGGTGTTTCAATCTTCTGTAACTTTTTCTTTTTTTCCGTACATGCCGAAATTGGCATCACATTGGCAGTACGAGTGTCCTCATACCAGGTAGAGATGTTGAATTTCAACTTGCATTTTTTTGGAAAGCAATGAAAAAAATGAAGCATGTTGTAATTCCTGTTCTGGCCGCCACAAACATCAGAAAATAGGACGATTTTGTCAAAATAGCCCTTTTTGTACTCTTCTGTGATTACATAAAACAAAAGATTCATGACAGTGTTGCTTCCTTTTTTCATATTACCTTCAATAATTGGAAACATGTAACTTTTACTGTTAGGGTCACTCAGAACATGAACATTGAAAATATATAACCAGAGCAATCGAAGATAGAATTGTTCAGAACAAGATAATTTCGGAAGTGGGAGATTTTGACCAAAATCGAAAACTAAACAAAGCGCATTTTTAGTTGACGAATGAATATTTTTGATTTTCCTGTAGCTTTTCACATTAGCTGTCTGCTGCAAAAACTCAATTTTCATTTCCGTGTTGTCCTTATTCACAAAACAAAAATTGCAAACATCCGTTCGAGGTGCACTAAGATCGTAAGATCGTAAGATCGACATTGTAATTAGAATATTTTTCGTAAGTGTAACGGCTTAGCGGGACTGTTAATTCATTAAAATCGGTATCATCGCCTTTAACAGCTGCGTAAAAATCTTTAAAAAATTCGTACATTTTTTTCAAAATTACATCCGTTTTTGAAAACATTTAAGTCTGGAATTTTCACGTGTATAATGAGGCTCCGAATGCTGGATCATGTTACAATGTATGTAAATTAATTCTTTCATTTCAGCTGTCAATACCGTACAATAATTTTCATGCCTGCCACGGCCGTCTTTTAATGTATCGCCAGCAATGATTTTCTTTTGAACGGACGCAAATCTGCCTCTATTAATTTGCGAACATTGAACTAAAAAATTCAGACATACTACAATATCGAGACATGCGGTATGAAAAATATAATCCCATAATATATGTTTTAGTTCGCAATTTGCATTTATCGCCTGTGAAATTTTTCTCCTCATGATGCCGCTAAGAAGTACGATCTGCCCATGATAGTCACCGATTTTCAAAAAATTATCGTGCAGTTCTCGTTGTTGTGGGATCAAGAGACTCGGTCGAGTCTCGCGCCAAGTACAGGCAACCCGCCGTACGGCCCAAGTAGCACAGCGACATCTAAAAGGTATCTTTTAGAGGTCTGTAAACAGATACGGATATCTTAACAGATCGCTATTAGATGCCTAAATGGTATGTTAATTTTCCCCCAAAAGACATGTTTTGGATATGTCGAAAAGAGATATCTTTTAGATGGATTTTCGGGAAATCTCAAAGATATCATATAGAAGTCTGGGAAAAGCTACCAGAACAAGTAGCGCTCATTAGGTTGTCGAATAGATAACTATCTGCGAGATTACAAAAGACATCTAATAGATATCCGTAACAAGATATCTTAAAGAAGCCAAGCAGATGTCTAACAGTCTAAATTTAGTTGTCGAAGAGATAACTTTATAGGTTATCCAAAGGATATCTATAGTAAGATATCTGTAGGAGAACTGTAAATGCTATCCAAAAGTTATCTTGTATTCTCGAGCAGCAGTGGATGACGATTTCGGAAATGTTATGCATTTGGTACATAAAAATTATGACAAATGTTCATGACAAATAACAATGATAATTTTTTGTCATGGACATTTGTCATAATTCTTATGTACCAAATGCATAACTTTTCCGTAATCGTCATCTTCTGCTGTTTTTTGGACTGCTTGGTGTAGGATGTGGCTCGCCAAAAAAATCATATTAATGACAATTATTGCTGTTCTGTACTTATATTATATTATAAAGAATACACAGCTTAGTTTTATTACCAATAACAAACGCTTTTCTAAATATTTTTTTCTTATTTATACAATACACTTTAATAAGACACAGATTCTCAGGTACCTTCTTTTCTTTCTTATTGATAAATTTTAATAACTCCTATAATATTATTAGTAACAATATAAACTTTGGCATTTGTGTAAGACTGGCATTGCATGTAATATTATGCTGTAAATGAATAATACTGGTTTTCGACAAAAGATGCTTTTTTAACTAGGATTTGCAACGTACCACTTGTGCCATTTTTTTTACTTATATTAACGATAATATAAAAAAAAAATTTACGAATTATTTAATGCTCGCAACGTGCAAAAGATGCTCAAAACCTTTCTTTACTCGGTAACAAAAATAAAGATTTCTATAAATCAGTTCTTTGGAGATGAAGTTAGATCTAGAGAAAATAGAAGACTGTTAGTTTTTAAAACAATAATATGTAACGAAATATGACTTCAAAAACTTTCTTGGTTTTTAATGTGAGAAGATCAGGTTACTTACAGAGTACAGTGACTACTGTATAGCTTTTTTAATACGATCTCCCGATTTCTCAAGCCACAGTGATACCCTCTTTCTTATATCGTCTAATGTTTGGCTGTACTTGGAAACAATAACGTCTGTAAGCAGAACATGTGGTTAAAATATAAGTTTAATTTTAATAAAAGAATTGAACTATTAAAGAAAACTAACCCATTATTACAGATGCCACTTTTGTGTCTGCAAACTTCTATGATCCCATCGTTTGACCAGTCCACGTAGTCATTTTTCCAACGTCGTTCGTCATCGTGAAGCGCATTATGGCACTTACTTGATCTCGCAGATTTTGACCCCCGAGGATTTGTAATTCTTTTCTCTAAAAACAGAGTGGAATATAAATACTTCAAAAACGGCTTTGAAACATTTTATTTTAATCGAGTAGAGTATACTTACGTATTTGCGACAATGCAGATCACTTTCCTTTAATAAATTCTCCTCGCCACGGTTTAGTTTTCTGACAAAATACGAGAAGAGAAAACAGCAGAATAGTGAAATGCAGTTTTCTGTTCTCGTTTTCTATGCGGAAGCACACATATACATACATCCATACACGCGCGCTCCACATGAATGCTTTTAAAAACTTAATAATTCTATACTGTTGTGAAAGCACCCTTATACTAATTGGAAATTCGGTATGAACGGTAGCTTTACGTATAAAGTGTATTTGATTGTGTTGTGTATTCGTAAAATACTAACACCATTCAGAATACAAATAGGTAAAGAAGGCAAAGCAGTCAGCGCCATCTGTCGTGAAAAAAATACGATGGACGTGCGAAGACGACGGAACTGAAATAAAATCATCTCGCTCGCCATCTCAATACGCCCTGAT